TTAGGGTTTACATAGGGTTTAGGGGGATGGGGGTTTGCGGTAAGTGGCTGTGTGGAAAGGGGCGCTGAGGTTGAGCGGTTGGATTCGGATTTGGGGTGTAAGTATCCACGATGACAGGCTCTTCCTGGCTTTGCTTTTTGGGGTTTTGCTTCGGGGTATACGGTTTTGGGGTTTAGGGTTCCCTAAACCCTAAACCCTATACCCTAAACCCTAAACCCTATATAAACCCTAAACCGGGTATTGACAGGCCGGAGTCGGAGTTTGCGGGCCTTTACTGCATGAAGCTTCACAGCGGGAGGAGAGGGAAGTAAGTTCTAATACCCGCCATACTTTAATCCTGGACCCCTCAGCAAGAATGCCGACAGCATAGACCCCATGACCGAGCACGTCTCTGAAGCCCAGAGCTCTTTGAGGCTTAGGAGCAGCCGCTCAAAAGGGTAGTTTTTCTAAATTCGGGTCCTTTTTTGAGCCCCACTATAGTACGGCACCCTTTTAGCAAGGACCCCAAGGGACTCTAACGTAGAGAACTACCCATAAGTAGGCTTACTTTATTCCCAGCACTATACCTCCTTTGAAAGGCTTAGGGCCCTCGGATTCAGATCAAAGGCGATAAGGTTTAAAGTTTCGGGTTTGTGGCTTAGGGCTTTGAGTTTAGGGCTGAGGGCTCAGGGTTTAAGGCTTGGGGGTCCAGAGTTTGGGGTTTAGGGTCGAAAATGTTCCTAGGGCGGCGAAGCTAAGCTACTGTGTAACCGGGACTTTGCTACTTCCCTGAACCCGAAACCCCTAAACCCTCAACCCTAAACCCTGCACCCTAAACCCTAAACCCTAAACCTTGAGCCTTAAGCCCTAAACCCTAAACTCTCAACCCAAAACTCCTAAAGTTTAGGCTTTAGGGTTTAGGGTGCGCCCCTGTGGAACCGTGCATTGCACCCTTAAACCTGCTAAGCCCTAAACCTTAAACTTTAAGTTCTAAACCTTTCAACCTGAAGCCGCTGCCCTAAACCGTCAACCCTGAACCCAAGACCGTGAACCCTAAACCCCTAAACCCTAAACCCTAAACCCCTAAACCTCTAAACCCCTATACCCTAAACCCTACTAAACCCTACTAAACCCTACTAAACCCCTGAACCTTAAACTCTTAGACTGAGGCTGCTCGTCCCCCTGGCTACCGCCAGCGTCCGGCAAGCTCCGCGATTCGGCGCGACGGATGCTGGGTGCTTGTTATAGGATCTAATTCGGGTTACCACAATAAAAAAAATCTATATTCAACACACCTGTTTCCTTATTATGGTAGATTTAGTTTAAGTTAGCATAATAGGGATCTATAGTAAATAAAACCGCTTCCTTTTTCTAGTAGCCTAAATTAGATCCCCGAGCAAGAACCCAGGACGTGGCCAAAGCCTGCTGGGCCTTTGCACCTCAGAGTGTTTAGGGGTTAGGGTTTTGGGGTTTTGGGGTTTTGGAGTTTGTGGTTTGGTGGTGTAGGGTTTTGGGTTTAGGTTTTGGGGTTTTGTGGTTTAGGGTTTTGGGGTTTGGGGTTTTGGAGTTTGTGGTTTGGTGGTGTAGGGTTTTGGGTTTAGGTTTTGGGGTTTTGTGGTTTAGGGTTTTGGGGTTTGGCCAAGTCAAAGGCGAAGCTGCGCTTCGTGGAAGAGCCTTCGGCACGAAGCTTCTGGCAAGCCATGGAGCCTTGACTTTAATGAGTAGGCTATGGTTTCAACTGGGCTCCTTTATGGTAGAATTAAAATAGGCAGTCCATGAACTATAGGTAACTATCGCGGCATCTGGAATACTGGGTTTCTATACGGATGCTACTAGGGTTTAGGTGAAACGTGCTTTACGGTTCTGATGTCGGGGCCGTAATAAGTGTTATACAGTGCTATCCGGATCTGTGTCACTATAGATCTAACTATGAATTAAGGTCTTAGATTAGATCTGCGCGTGTAGGCTCTCGTGTTTATGGGTTAGGCTGTAGGGTTTACGACTCAGGGCTTTGCACTTTGCTGTATGGTTTAGGATTTGGATTTGGTTTTGGTACGTAGATGCACGACTACGAATAATCAGTAGTGGCGTAAGTTTTAAGGTCTGAACCAAGAATTGAATAAATGGAAAACCGCTTAAAGCCAGCTTGAACCCTCAACCCTTGACTCTTAAACTCCAGACCCCACATCCTAAATCCTTAAACCCTACTCCTACAGACCCTAAACCCTGACACCCCGAAGCTACAAACCCCAGACCCTAGACCCCATGCTGCAAACCTAGACTTCTGAATCCTACACCCCGAAACCATTAATTTCACAGCCTTACACACCAATATTATACGAAACATTCTAGAAACCCGTTTAAGTCCTAAAAACCTCTCCCGAAACCTAAAACCCTAAACTCTAAACCCTACTCTCTCCATGCCGGAAGCTTTGCGAGAGGTGGAGCCTGCGTCACGAAACATCCCCGGCGCTCGCTTCGCGGCCCGGCGCTGCATAGGGTTTAGGGTTTCGGGTTTAGGTAGTCTAAGGACATTATTCGTTTCAATAGGGTTTGGGGTCTATTATACTATAGCTATAACTAGGAACCCCCAAGCCCTATTCCAACCATTAAGGCCACATACTAGAAGCAACAAGGTTGGAAGATAGGATGAGGATGATTAGTGCTGGATTTCCGTTTATGAGGACACATGTTCCAACTTTCTGGCTTCTGGAATAGGGGTTCTAGAAGAGAGTTTCGAGTTTCTCTTGAAGGGATCTATAGGGCTGCCTTTGAGGGATCGATCTAGAGGGGTAGTTCTACAAGGGCTAAGGTTTAGGGTTTTGTATAGGCATCGGACCACTACCAATTCTTTGGGCTCCTTATCATAACCATAGCGTATACTTTTCAATATACGGCACATTATTCACGCCCCTGTCTTGTAGGGATTCAATGGGGCCTCTACTTTTCATAAGGGGCTTATAGGTGTGTGTCATTAGGTTTAGGGTTTAGGGGTTTAGGGTTTAGGGTTTAGGGTTTAGGGTTTGAAATTGATGATAAGCAGGTTTTTGGGCGTTTGGCGTTTCGGGTCTTCAGCTTCTTCAACACCGCTTGGTGCAGTCTTCAACATCGCTTAGTGCAGGGATGTCCAATACACTATAGGAGGTCCATGCCCTTAAGCCTAGATCTGAAAACCTGAGACCTAGATCCGAAACCTGAAACCCTCAACAAAGCCTCAACCCTAAACCCTAAACTTTAAGTCCTAAACCTCAGGTGGACGTGTCCATGATTTGCTGGGCTTTTGCTGCGACCGACCAAGTCTCTCCGGCCGTCTTTGAGGCTGGGCTCGTTACAACATGTGGGAGTTTCCGAAAATAAGGGGTACCTTATTTTGGGGGTCCTTATAATCAGGATCCTACTATTTGGAGTGCTATATCAGGGTCCCCTATTTTCGGAAACCCCCATGTGCCTGACCTCAATCAATTACGGGTTGAGAATTGGCTCGGTGCGGGTCATAAGGGCTCTATAGGGGGGCTGATTGGGTTCCGGAGAGTTTAGGACAGGCCTGGGGGTCCACTGTAAAACAAAAGATCAGATACAGTACACCAAAGCCTTATTCGTTTAGGGTTTTAGGGTTTAGGGTTTTAGGGTTTAGGGTTTAGGCTTAGGGTTTTAGGGTTTAGGGTTTAGGGTTTAGGGTTGCTTTTGTTATAAGTAGTGGAAGTCAGTATAGAACAGCGCCAAAACCAAATTCCAACCATTAAGGCCCCGAATCTAGGGGTTCCATACCAATCTAGCCAGCAGCACATGCTCTCACGACCATTGCGGAGAAGTCTGTTGGCAGTTCTACTTTGCTATACTGCTAGTGGCTGCTGTGGCCTTCGTGCTCACGGCTCGTTGTCTCCGTGAGCAATCATGGCAAAGGCTAAGACAAGTTTTTTGGCTCTCATTGCTCTGCGACATTTGTTATTCCTTGTACACGGTATACCTATGCCCGAAGCCCCTGACACCCTTCACTAGTTAGCAAGATGGGAGGGGAAGCCTGCTTCAGATCCTGCAAGCAGGAAACTAACCAAAACACGAAGAAGCTGAACCTCAGACTTGTTGCTGTAATTGTTTTTGGCTTTGTCCACACAGCACAGCAATATTTAGAATTTAACACTTGGGTTGCATGTACATATGTTTTCAACAAGCAGGGTTGCAGTGAGAATCGCAACTCTCGTTGTGTCTTCAACGCCCTAAGCTCAAGCGGGCATAAGCACCATAAAACGCCCTTCAAGCAGACAAACCCATCCTAAACCCTAAACCACCCCTAAGCCCTAAGCCTAAACTCCTAAACCCTAAACCACCCCTAAGCCCTAAGCCTAAACCCCTAAACCCTAAACCACCCCTAAGCCCTAAGCCTAAACCCCCAGACCCAAATTCATCCCTAAGCCCTAAGCCCTAAACCCCTAAACCCTAAACCACACCTGAGCTAAACATCCGGAGGCAGCCTCACTGGAGACACGTTCGATCGTGCGCGAGCTCCCACCGCGGAGCCTTGCAGGCCCGGTACATACGCAGGTACCTTATATCATGTTGTGGCATTGTATAGGGTTTGGGGTTTAGGGTTCAGGGGTTTAGGGGTTTAGGGTTTAGGGGTTCAGGGTTTAGGGTTTAGGGGTTTTTAGGGTATATGATAGCATATTGCATTGAAGTATAGTAGATGATAACATATTATATTATCAGACGAACCGCGTCTAACGGTCAACTGTACCGGAAACCCGGCGTGCCGTACAGATGACTGCTTAAAGCAGGCTACTACTACTACTACTACTACTACTACTACTACTACTACTTCCTGCTGCTACTACAGCTGCTGCTGCTGCGACGACGTCTACTACTACTACTACTACTACTACTACTACTACT